TTACCATATTGGTAACAGTGACTCACTGCACGAGGTAAATTGTATTTATTCATTGATCTGTTAAATATAAATCCATTTTGTAGGATTATGTCTCTTCACGCTTCTCGTTCTATAAACATCCTTCTATCCTCCACTGTACATCCGATCAACCGTACGAATCGTCACTTTCGTAGTAGACTTGCTAATACAATAAATATAATAATATCGCATCCGTACAATTTTTCCGCCTTATTATTTGATTCTTAATAAATTAACACTTTAACTAATTCTAATAACGTTGCATTCTTCGTCCTTCATAAATTAACGTTTTAATTCACGATCTCGGTATACCTCATCGAACGACCATACCGATCGTCAGTTTCTGCAGCACTGCTGCTGATACTAATAATATTGCATTTGCACGATTGTTACGTCTTATCGCGTTATTTGTCTCGCAATAAGTCAACGTTTTAACACTTTACCGACCGATAGCTTATTAATCGGTGTTTTACCGCCGACAATCTTTCTCATTATTTGAGCAGTAATTTGTTATTTAGCACTAAGGTACCTTCCTCAGTTGCGTCAGTTGCGTTGTTCTGTAAGCTCCCACAGTTTTATACCAATTTAAAAAACTCACCTTTCGCGATGAACGAAAAGAATGGTATTGGAGAGTCTAAACCGAAACAGAGCCAGCGCCATAGAAAATCTGCGCCTGAGATACCGATCGGACGTGCTAGCGGTCGGTAAAGTGTAAAAACTCACCATCTGGCTACATCTTTTCGAGAAACCATAGGAATCGTCACTTTCTATAGCGGAGCTGCTAGCGCTAGGCTGGAGAAACGGCCTTGCGAAAGGCAAATCGCAGCAGCACGCGGTACAACCGGATATACGTTCGTAGGCATCGTGGGCAGCCTTGTCGCGACGTTCATGTCGGAAAACACCTGCGTTTCAACGGCCTAGAGCAGCAGACAATCCTTTACGTCGGCGACCTTCCGCGAACCATTGCGAAACCATAGTCCACGGTAACTGCAACCGGCATCCAGATGCATAGGATGCCCGTTCGATTCTCTTTCTAACCAGCCGAATGTCACCGCTGCTATTGTCACCACATGACAACCGACCATTTGTTACGAGACTAGTGCGACGTTTGTTCAACAACGTTAACCGCTAAGAATGTCCTCTTGCAAGCGGAATCTTTAGCTTTAATGATGTTGCACGATGGTATTGCAGGAACGTTGTGAGATTGCAACGGGGTGATACGTTGGATTTCGAAAAATTCCAAGTTACGTAAGAGTCTATTTATTTACGGTTGCTAACATGATTAACGAGTATAGGGAAGTCGTTTAAACAGGACACACTGTGCATGATATCGTTATTGTCGGTCGTTAAATAGGGAAAATTAGATTTGTGTATAAGGTGAGAACAGCTGTGTATTTGTGACTATATAGAAATTCTTTTAATATTTGTTGCACTTTCAAATCGTGCAAGAAGCAGAAACCAAAAATTACGATAGAAACTTGTACTAGAAAAATTCTCTTATTACGCTGCTATTCTTCTCTAATAAATAAAAAGTTTAATACGGATACGTATTTTAATTTCAATTCTTTGGACTTGGAATTACTAAATACTATTTCGATTTATCAAAGACAACGTTGGACTTGATAAACTGGAAAATATCAATAAGATAAAACTGTAGTACTTTTAAAAAAGTTTCAGAAATTTGTATTGTTAATAAAGCAATAGCGGCAATACCGAGAGAAAATATTTCTATCTTGACCTCTTTACATCAAGACGTCCAACAGTGTTCATTTTCTTTAATCGAGAATTTACGAGCGATACGCATTAGGGTGCATTTTATCAAAAGCGTTGCTTGTGTTAGTCTCCGGCACCACCCGTGGTGAGAGGTGATTCTAAAAAACTCCAGACAACCAGGATTAAAAGAAGTAAAGAAAAAGCGGTCGTTGCCAAAAAAAGACGCGCTTTATCGGATATAAACGATGCTACGGAAAAATAAGATACATCAATGGGTTCATTATCGATTCGGCATCGGAATTGCTCAATTTGCCCGTTCTGGGACCTACATATGCTTTTGCTCGGTGGAAGTATCTCGGAATAATATCATGTAAAGATGTTGTCTTATTTGTAATTTGTGTCTTGATATATAAAATTCAGTCTTCCTTTTTTCCATGAAAAATGTTCAAATATACAGTGCCGTTCAAAACTTTGCTATCGCTCTAATGTATGAAATTGAAAATAAGATTGAAAACTATGTAATTGAATATGTGCATCGCTTTAAACGGTGGTCTATTAGAATGATTTTCTGATTTTTCCAAGTAGTAATTTTTTTGTCCCTTTTTAATACCATAAGAGATTTTCCAATTCGAAATTATTTGGATATACAGTAAGGAGATATAATATTCCATTAGATAATAAACTGTCCATTTCGTTTACTGTTAAGTATAGAAGATGTAATATTATAATTTTATTGTAAAATAACATATTATAAGATGTTGTTATATAATGTTATATTATTAAGTACTATATAATGTTATTTGTTGATTTATATGTATGCTGATTATTAAATGCTAGTTGAAAGTATTAATGTTGGTAAAACGAATCCCTGAATTTTGTATTGAAATATTTTGAACATTACCGATCGGTAAGAAATCTGATAAAACTTGGTATTGCGCGAATGGTAACGAAACAGAACTGAGAAGAACCGATTGATCGGTATTACCTCGATCGATAATATAGAAATTTAAAGACTGCCTTGCCTTTGCGATAACTAGACGACAGTTCGTAAAGATTTATGTAATCGTTCTGTGAGAGATAGATGGTGCGTGGAGTACGCTCATTTTTAAGTTTTTTTTAAAGGCTTAGTTTTAACTCTCAGTTTAGACAAGCAACGTGGAATGCGTGCTTCTTAATTTTAATTAATCTCAAAATAAACGTTTATATTGTCAGCACTTGCCATGGGATACATTGTGCGCACTTTTTGTACAAAGATACGTTATTTCACTTAGAGTGAAAAGTTAAAAGTTCCTTTATGTAATTCGTTTAAATATTAAATTACTAAATGGAAAAATTGATTTAACGAATGTCTATAGTTCCATTTTTTAAATTTTGCTTCAAGTAGATTAGTATCTATTTACTTCTAAGTAGGTTTTAGTTCTAAGATTTACTTTCTTATTTGTTAATTTTAATCTACCTCTTGATTTTAAGTCTCATTGTTGAATGGTGGGGGGATAACGAGGGATTTATTTTTTGTTTTAAGTTATAGCTTTAAACCTTACTCATAAGTCTTAATAAGATTGATTCCAAATTTGATTACCATAACCACAATAATCACGTCTCATATGGAAACACACGCTAATGCAAAACATAATATGCATAAAATTTTGCTATAGTAAATATTGAAATACTTTTGTGAGCCACTGTATACAGAAGTATCTATATCCACTTTTAACCAATTTCAGTGATCGAATTCGATATATGTTTGTAACAACTTTTTTGAATAATGCTCATTATTCTAAATCGTAGACGAATTAGATAATGTAAAAACAAATTTAAAAACTATTGATTGTATTCTTTACCTGACATTTAGATGAACCGTTCACGCTTCTTCTTGTTGTACCTTCTACGATTCCTGTCTAACCATTCCAACTAACCACTCTAAAACTGACGCTTCTACATTATATCTCAATACGATAGATCGATCGCGAAAAATTATATCGATTATTGATTAGACATCGCGATATATAATTGCGTATTTCGTCGTTTCACTGGCGCTGTAATCTTTAGTTTAAAGATGTGCGCGCATTTCGTACATTGTCTAATTTAAAGCAAAAAATTTAAAAAATAAGTAATATATATCTAGAGAACATATTTATATCAAGTTAAAACAGTCTTTATATCAATAAGGTCTTTGTATGAAGACATTTGAAGTATAAACGTGTTTAGACCTTGAGAAGACAAGTTTTGACTCACTCTACCTGTTACTCATTCCATAAACTATAAACCATGTTACCATTTAAATCAGTCTAATCATCTTTTGCTTTTAAACGCGACCTTCTCTTGTTAGCCGGAAGAAGATCTTGATATTACGAGCTATTAATAATGGCACCATATTTTTAATCATCAACGAAAATAAAATTGTTCATACAAGAACAGACAGTTTTTAAATTACGACTTTAGATTACGAGTTTCAAATAATTACACCTAGAAAATAGGATCATTAGAATGTTAGTTCAAATAATTTACAACAGTAAAGTATGAAAATTAGTAAAAATTGTCTTTTATTAAGAAAAAGGAAATATACAAACACATTATTACGTGTCCTAAACATTTTTTACACGTACAATATGTACAAATTTTTGGCATAGTCGCATAATTTTTCTTTGCGCTTTTTTACACTGAAGGGGGCTTAATTATTCCCGCGTGCAAATAGAATGATGGAAACTCTTAGAAATTTACTCCGGCGGGAAAATTTTGTTCAGTGGCACGCGACTGAACACCTCGTTGCTGAGTTGGGTGAAAACTTGACTGAAAGTTTCCTCGTAGGGGCCCTGGAGTTCCTTGAAAAGCAACTCGGAGTTTTCATTGATGAAGTTGTTCAATTGTGGTCCTACAAAAGAAGAAGAAGGCAGGTGAAATATTAAATTATTAAATATGTAATTCGAGGTCACAATATTCAAGTCTTCGAAACTCGTGTAAGATTACAGAAATTTTCAATGACAACAGAATCACATTAGTCTAGGTTATATTTTTGTTAGTTTATTAGGTTAATTATTCCATTTCTTTAATCATCTTAAATGTATTCTTTTCCATAAAATGTAATCCAGACCTAACCTCATTTAACCATAATGTTATCATAGATAAAATGTCATCTGATACAAATTTTATTTGAATATTACCATCCTATAATAAAACTATCACACTGTTACGTTTAATCGCTGCAAACGATAATTTTTCTTACTTTTTGTATAAAATATTGAATTTCATTCGTGATAGCATTAACCTAATTTTATTTTATGACAGTCATAGAGGTAATAACTGTCATTAATTAACAATTCTGTATGGTCTGCTATACTTTGTATAATCTAACTTAGAACTGAATAAATCTAATAAATAATGCATCATTGCATCGATAAGATAGAAGAAGATATTTATGTTAGAATTTCCATGTAATCATGACTGACTTAGAAAAAGATCAACTGTAAAGGTGAACGTCGTACATAATCATAAATTTATAAGTCTATGCACACGACGCATTATTCTTCTTTCATTCGAAACGATGACCTCGTAAGATAAATAAGATCATATTTCTATTTTTGTGAGTAGCATAACAAGTATCATTATTGTAATCTGGTCATAAACAATGATTCTAATGAATGGTTTTCCTATAATTTTATACAAAATTGTGAGTCACGATGCATTGGAAATGTAAATACTACATTAGAAGTTCTCTATAGTATTATTAGTAGATTATCAAATTGAATGTATTTATGAAAAATGTATTATTCGAATTATGAATGATTCAAGTAGAAAACTTATACCAAAGAAATTCAAACGGAAATTATGTGGAAAATTATGTAACTTTTATCTGACTAAAAGTCCTTAGAAACTCATCGTTGTAAGTTATAAAATTGCTCTGACAAATTCACAAATTAGTCAAATTGATCGTTCTGGTAGCTGTAATATTATTACGCAAAAATGTATAAAAAATTCGGCTTTTAGTTAATATTTGATAAATGAAACAAATTTCTGCTTGGATTGTGATAAATATTCTTAAAAATTGAAATTTGTATAGACATGCACAGTAATTAGTACGTTTCTTCTTCGTAAAGATTGATTAATATGCGCTAATAAATAAGGATTGCTGCTATTGTATGGTGATTTTTGATAAATACCTAGTATCTTATCACCATTGAAGAGGTTGTCGAACTGCAAGTTGATTCGAGCAGGACTGAATTTCACTCCGTATTTCTTGATTTTCAAGTAAGTCTCTCCGTTCTTTTCATATTTCTCGCAGGATATTTCGTTATGCGATTTCAAGTCATCTAAATATTTGCATAAAAATAATGATTGAAAAAACATTATTCGTTATTTATATTTATCATTTAAACGCAATAGACATAGATTTCTATAGATACAGGAAGAAATACAAATCCTAAAAAACGGAGAAAAGAGAAGAAAATATGAATAAAAGGAATTACAAAGATGGGAATAGACGAAAATTCAATTTTTATATTTTTGAAACGAATTGATGTCGAAGAGATAGATTTCTAAAGAAGCGAAGAAGAAGAGGTCGTGAGGAATTTGAAAACGTCGTTTATCATCTACAATGTTAAGTTTTTTAAATTATAAGATATAAGTAGATAATATATCAGCAAAAATATATTTACACATGGTGATGTTTGATCTTCCAGATCCTTTCACAGGCAAGAGTAACACTTTTCCTTCGATCTTGTAATCGGCGACGAAGTCTACTTGCGGATTGATCGAATCAGACGTCAATAAACATCCATTATCCACATCTAAGCTAAAAAACGAGCGTTATCGTTAACCATCGCCTTGTATCGAATTGTAAGTTTCATGTCAACATTGTATTTTTCCTCAATGCGTATAACGTTTTTTTTTTTCTTTATTTACTGACTATTTTGCAATTTATGGAAAAATATTTCATCTCGTTTAAAAGATTATGCGTTTATTATCATTTACGATGTAATGTAACTTCGATACACGTTTCGTGCAATATCTGATAGAACAATCTACCGAATTATATTTTGACACGTTCTTGAATTTTTCTAGTTTTTCTACTTTCAATATCACTAAGTCTGTATATACTCTCATCAGTTTAGAATAAATCCTTTTATTGGTTCGATTTTTTCGAGTTCAAGTTTGATTTTAACGAACAGGACACAACTTTCAATTTCTACCAGGCGTTTCTTTCTCTTTTTTCTTGTTACTTTATTGTGCATCGTACCGGTTCTGCCCATATTTGGCCGATTCTTATAATCCTAGCACATGATACATTTCTTTCCTTAAATTATTATGCAACCGTTCTACTGTGCTTACTTATTTTTATTCGATTAAACTTGTTTACCAAAAAGTCAATGCAATTCTCCATAATATTATATATAGTACAATTTTTTCATTATGAATCGACTAACGTAATTTCTAATAACCAAGCCCATTAAACGTACTTATTCTGCTAAACGTCACGAAGGAGAAGTTCGTTCGCCGTAAAATATTTTCTAATTCTCGGAAAGCAATTAATTGTCTAATTATTGAATATCAAATAAAGCAAGCCTTTTTTCAACTTACTGATGATTGTAGAGTTTAATACCCTTTGTAAGGCCATATAACTTAATATTCTTATATTCCTGCTTCAAAGTAACCGATCCTTGTGTTCCACCGATATTCACGCTGTCCACGGACAATGGTTCAATCGGCAAAATCCTTAAACTCTTCAAGCCTGCAGAAGAAATTCATCTTTAACTTCGGTTCAATCTGCGATCTTTAACTTTCTTTTTTATTTTTATTGAAAAATGTTTCAAACACTTGACTTAATGAACGATCATACGATCGTATAATATGACAAAGAACCAGATATATAGTACAGCATTCTTTTAACTGTTTTAAAAACCTAACGTAATAAATAAAATTAGGTTTAGACATAAGTAACATAATTTGCCCACAAAGGATGGAAACGAAGTTCGTCCAGACAGAATTAATAAATTCTTTTAAACGCATGATCTCTCTAGATAGTCAATCGACCGGTCACTAGAAACGATTATATAAAAGTTCTTCCTGTTGCAATTGCAGCCAATGAAAAGCACAGTTGCCGCATTTTCCACTTTATGTAAAAAGAAATAAAACTCGAATAGATGTATATTTTAATTGGCAAGAGTAATAACGTGTACTTCGCTCTGAACATTTTCCGCGTGTAATCATTTTTATTCTTCTTTTACATATTTGCATAAATACATAAGGTTTGTAATTTAATTGTCAAACGTCAAAGTCTAAGCAAATCTTCACAACTGCTCCGCAGAAAATTAAATTATTCTTCACTGAAATTATTAAACCCTGTGTCTTTGTTCGACTGAAACGAACGATACCGAAATTGGAGAACTTTCAGAAAATTGTTAGCAAAAACAGTCAAAATGAAAATATCAAAATTATTCATTTATATGGATAAGATCTTTGTATAATAATTGTTCCAATACTAACCGTTTGTATGAGAATGAAAAAGGGTGCGTTAAAATTATTTTATATTGTGAGAATTATGTTTGAAATTATGTTAAGCACTCAATGTTTTGGATCTTATGAACGAGAGTATGTATACAGGTGAACACGTGTGTGAATTTTGATTGGGGATCCAGAAAGCGAAGGGAGTCAACTTGAGTCAAGGAGAACCTCTGTAAATTGCCACACGTGATTATATCGGAGAAACTAATGCCAGTTTCAAAGAAACGCAACGTGCATTGCTCTTGTGAAATCAACAAGAAATTGTGCACAACTTTTACCGATGCATCGAAAATTGTGACAAAAATGAAAAGTAGCAAAGGGGTCAAAGTCTGTTTCAATCGATTCTCTGTCTAATTTGAATCCGTGGAAGATATTTTTCTTCAGGTTTCTTTGGACAAACTTGCAAATGTGAGAAATGGTTGTTCAATGATACAGGTTTCTCTCCTGCGTTCCTATGAAAAGTTTTAGCCTCTAGTGAAACCTGTAGAAAACTGAATATCAAATACTAATTGTACTATTTATAAGCAAAGACATATTTATTATTAATACTTTCAAAGGTAAGAACAAAAATTTAATAATCAATTCTAATGTTGCCATCTTAATTGTGAAACTAGCAGAGGAAATTAACTATTTGATGCTGATATTTGTAATTAAATAACATTTATAATTAATAATTTCCTCCAAAAGGAATGAAAACCTAGTCTATGATGTTGCACTTTCGAAAATTTAAGATTGAAGATATCGTGCGTGGAGGGAGATAGTAAAAATATCAATGAAAAATGATTGTCTGCTAATAACATTCATAATATATAATTTCTTTAAAGAAGGGGATGAAAATTTAATAATTCATTTATGATATTACTAGTTCGACTTAGAGAAGAAAATAGAAAAAGAAATGGAAGAACAGATACTATCCTTTCAATGAAAATTGCGTTGGATTAGGAGACCACGATCGGTCAGGTGAAATGGTTGCATAATTGTACAAATAATAAATATACTTATGCTCTCGCTAATGACGATAATTATTTGAGTGGTCGATTCGTCTTTCAGAGGATTCAGTAATACAGTAGACGATATCTCTATTCTATATATATTTCTATTAACCAAATTGGTTTTTGCGGCAGAAATTGAAATTAATTCGATGCATAATGTTTGACGCAAATATACCACATTCCTTGCTAATGATCAGATAGCATATACTTAAGAATATTTTACAAATACTCCTAATGAGGAATAAAAGATTCTTACACTGTCGTAAGAGTTTCTATACAGAAAAAAGCAACACAGGATGGATACAGATCAAAATAGAGATCAATCTTCCAATTTTTTGATAAAGAAAAAAGGGTAATCCTTACCTCCACCCAATGAAGTCACAACATCTGTAACAGCCGTGTCCAGGCATTTGGTAAGCTGTTCTGCTGGCAATGATCTGCTACATACCTTCCAATTGCTTGCTACAAGAATTAACGAAAAACAAACAAATAAATGAATGATACATACTGAGACTGATAATGAGGGAAAAAATGTCGCATGCAACAGTTACGTAAACAGTTACTGCATTGCAGTGGATCCAATAAAGTGCAACACCAGTTACGAAGCCGATCTGAAGCTCGGAATTGACTTTCTCTTTCAGACCGTGATCATGTCTCCATGATCTGTAATGATTTTTCGATTGGAAATCTGAAATGTTTCGTCCAGATTCAATAATTTCATTGTTTGCTCGCGGCACAAATTTCTTTTTCATCGACACTGAGTTCAATACTGACGTCTCTTTGGATCCACTCAATGATTCATACGTTTCTACATACATGATATTTGATTTTTCTTTAGTTAAAGTATTAATAAGTGTTAGAAAATTAGTCTTTTTACTTTAAAGTGTTCCATTGTATCTTATATTAATTTTTTTATGGTTATAGTAAATTTCATTGTTATTAGATGGTCGTTGAGGACAGATCACATGGAGTTTGTTCGAATACAGAAAAATAGGTAAAATGTTTGAATTATTTTACAGCGATTTTCTTTCTTTGTACTTTGGAAATCGTTCTAAGCCAAGGACGTGTAGCGGAGTGTGTAGCAAAGTGTCGTAAGTTAAGAGTTGTCAGCCAAACGTTGTAACAACAAACAAAGAATCGTGAATGAAAAATACTGAAGCTACTTACGCAGATCGGTGGCGATGGCCATGGTCAATGACATGACCACGATGAGCAACTTGATTGTCGCCATATTTCCCGTGAAAATTTCTATTAGATTGCTTAAAGAAGTGGTTCACGATGGTCCTCTCCGGATTGAAAATTACTTCGGACAGTTGAGTGTGAACTGAAGGAAACAGTCATTGATGCAGTCTATTTAAGCAGCAGGATCGCCCCACTACCACTTGGCTGATCAAGTACGCGCGCCTCTTCTCTTGAAATTATGCAAAAACGAAAAAACCCATTAAAACAATACCTAAGGATATACAAAGTAGTTGCGACACATAAGCTCTAAGTGTTCAATATGATTCGTTGTTGTTGTTATCGGAAATTCCATTCCAATCTTTGATCTAAATCACTACAGTACCTAAAACTCTATCCGATGCAGTCGATGGACAAGATGTGGACAATTGTATTTACAATTGTAATTAATTTTCACGTAATTGAAGAAAACAGAAAAATTAATTGAAATGTATAAACAACTGAGGCAAACACTTATTCATACAAGCAGTATACCGCGTGTCCTGACATCGGATAATAGAGGACCAGGAACACATTCGATAAATCGGGCTTTGTGATGACAGTTCGGATAAATGGAGTTCTACTATATTTATCTACGTGTCTTCATTCAGTAACTGGAACTGTTGTCAGTGGTCTATGTAGACTGGAACTTTTTTCCTTTTTTCTTTTTCTTTGTCGTTTAGATTTAATGTACAGAATCTTAATCTTAGATTCCATTATTAAATCTTCTCACTTTCCTTTTTGTTCTTGCTTCTTTCTTTGCTTTCCTATCTTTCTATCAACAATCTGTAAACAGGTGTTTTAATAATTTAGCTTTAGAGATTCTTTTTTGTTTATACGTGACAATACACGTTTTTCGTTTTCCAAAAACAACTCTAATTTATTAACTTTCTTGTCTTGTTTCTTCTGAGCTTCCTTTCTTTCTTTGTTCCCTCTTGTTTTTTCAGATCTATAATGTAAATCGTGATTCTTTGTTTCCTTCTACGTTTTCTCTCTATTATATTTCTTTTTAATTTTGTCTTTCTTCTTTCAATTGTTTCTGTGTTCACATAGAGATGTCGGTGTAGATGATTGTAGAGATGGAATGTCGGTTGTGAGTGCAGTTGCAGTTTTATCCGCTCGTTGAAAGCGTTCACTTTAAAAGTAAAAGTATTTTGCATATGCAGGTTTGTCCCTTATCGATATTCCTCGTTCCTTCTTTGCGATGAGGGGAACAACCTACTCCTCTAGATATTCTCTTGACAGTTTTCATGGTTCAATTACTCTACGATGCTCTCTTGAATTTATTAATTATAGGTAATTGAATAGGTATCATGTTTAAGTACATATTTACAACTAATGATATATTCAGTTCGAATTACTCAGAATGGAACTTACTAGAATTTCACAGAAATCTTTGGTAGGATACAGATATTTGATAGGAAGCTGACAATTCTATGTTAATTATCTGCATGATATATTGATAACATTATAAGCTCATATTTAAGTGCCGTAATTTTCATATTTATTTGCAATTTCAATAAACCACATCATTTAGTATCAATTTTACATGCAGAATATATTACATCTATTTAGAAACAAGTTTATCTTTATTTGAGTTTAAGCGACCATAAAAAGTTGTTTATTTGCTAGAATGCTATCTTACCACTAATCGATAACCACTTTTATCATTATCATCAGCAAATCTTTTTAAGGTAATAAAATATCAGGAAGTCGCAGACAATCATGGTCTACAAAAACTTTTGCAATATTTCAGATCTCAGTTCTCCAGCGCGATAAAAGTCTTATATGGAGCGTTGACGCACTCGGTGGACGTTAAAATTTTCCTTTCATCTGCATCTCGAATAGAAAACTCGAGGAAAAAGTCTCGCGAATGGCTGAGACGGAATTGCTCGAAGTGAACAGCGGCCATTTAGAGGCAACAAAGGGAACAACAAAGGGATTCTGAAGAGCTCGCTATTAACAGCCATCCTGCACGCCTGCCATCGAATCAGAAGAAAACAACCGTATGCAACTATGTTGATCTGAAAAAGAGCAATATTTGGCGACAAATATAGTCAGAAATGTATTTGTTAAATATTGTAAATCTTTTAACATTTTGAAAGATTCAAATTATCGTTACAGATTACTCTGAATTAGCTATAGGTTTGGTAATTCAGTTAGATAAAAAGTATTTTCAATAGCGAGACACATTAAGGAGTATATGTGAAAATCAATAATGAGGTACCTAAGTACCTTCTAAAACTTCTAAAAATAGTAAAGAGAATCTCTGTTCGAAGTTCAAGAGATGGGTAGATATTAATTGAATTTTAATATCTTTTTTTTCTTAGGCAATCCCAATTTCTCGTTCGAAAGTTCATATAAACCAAAATTAAATCATAGATTATTTCTTCACTACTTAACTCTACTTTATTCTTTTCCTAAGAAGATAACTTTTTGATCCAATGATAAAATCATTCCCCTGCTACTTATTTTTTACGCTCTTACATTATTAATCTGCTCTTTTTGCGACGAAATTGTCGACTTTGTTAATATTCACGTGACATTGGCTGGATATTGTCAACCAAGACCTAAATCGATAACATTCGTTCGATCGTTCGATCTTTCAACGAAGTAAACGCGTTCATAAAATACGTCCTTGATAAGATGTGGATGATCGATTAAAAATGCACATGATTTCCTCAAAAACAACTAAGGTTACGCGTTCACGGTCGTCGAGGTTCACTGCTTCGAGGTTTACTGCTTCGGGGTTCACTGATCTCGAAACCGGCACAATTTTCGCTCGAGAGCAAGTTTTTACTTTCGTTGAATACAAAATGTATGAAACATTTAATACATTTAATCAGTAATCATTAAACTACTTTAATTGCTTGTTACTACTGACTGATATCACTGACTTATCCGATTATAAGACTATGATTTATTTAATGGGAAGATATCTAAAATTTCATCCAGTGACTTTCTAATTCGACAGGAATATCTAAAAATATTGAAACTAGAAGGACTTGCTTCGCCTGTTAGATATTATCATGGCCAATTTAATGTTTGCTTATGTCGACGAATAAGTAATTTCCGTGTAGCGATAACATCTAATAATATTTTGAAGGTTTTGACGTTCATCCGTAAAAAGAGAAAAAAAACGAGTAAAAAGAACAAAGATTATAATAGCAGTAAATAAAGTACGTTACTGACATCAGCAATTAGTAACGCTATAAATTGTAAATTTTGAGCGATGCTTAGCATGTTCGATTGTTTGTTCAAATAACGACAGAGCCGACAAAGAACTGAACGACTGCTAATTTAGCTAACGCAGATTTTTATGGAATTCATAATTCGTCAAGACAGACGAATGCATTCATAAGTTTTTACGATTGTTTTCTTCTCTTTCTTTTTTACGAATCTTGATTAGATTCGACTATTTCATGACGTTTAAAAAGAAACGTTAAATTGCCATTTTGGTTTCGTAATTTCCAATGCAATTTTATCTCAAGATCTCTGCGAGTCAAAAATGTCGAAGATCTAAAACTATAGTTCTATCTAAAATTTTAATTGTTTTCATCTGTTCCAGAAACACATTAATAATGATTGTATTGTAACGAAAGTGTAAATAATTTTCCGAGAAAACGCATTTTTAGTTTCTTTGTTAAGTCAGGTATAGAAAATTCGACGGATGTGTCTTGCGTAATAACACAAGGGAATAATAATATAATAATAATAATGCAAGGGAATAGTAGAATATATTTTATGAATAAATTATATGATATAAACGTGAATGACGTGATTCGGCGCATTAATGTAGTTCTGTATGTTAAATGAACTACGTCGCAATCTCTTCTACCTTTATTCTACCGATTAACATTTTGTTTCGTGTCGTCGATTGTCAGCATATAGTATCATAATAATCAATGTTTATAATGAATTTATATTCGTCTCGAACCATTAGATTAGATCATGAAACTTGTAGCCATTTACATGAATATGAAAAATCAACTACATTAGAATGAAGCGGTTAAAGCAAGAAAAGATCGATGAAAAACGAGAAAGACAATAGATAATTGGTATGCGTAATCGTAACCAATTTGCTGAAAAGAAATCTGCAATTTAGAAACACAATTGTGATTTACTCGAGTACAGTTGTTATGCAATAATAACGTCTTCGTTACTTTTATAACGCACACTCTTTATGCATTCAAAAGAAAAAAAGGAAACGAGCAAAGAACAAACATGTTCTGAAAAAAAGACGAATATTTGATTTTTCACTATATATATTCGCTATTTCTTTAATGATTGTTTTTTTAGATATTTACGAGACAAAAAGGAGACGCAGTAGAGAATTCCGTGAGAAATACGATATCTGGCTTAATATTATGTGTATTCGTTATTTCTCTAATGTATACCGTTTCTATGTTAAAAAGAGAGGAAGAACTAGGAAACTTCCGAAAGAAGAATTTTTAATTTAGTATTTCCAATTGATAAAATCTTTATCGCCATCAACGATCAATTTATTTTACTTCGCTCATAGCCTTCTCTCTTCATCATTAAATCAATGTTTATGGCTCTGCGACCCTGAACCTTCATTTAAAAATGTCTACTTATGAATAAAATCCTAAGTTTCTTGATCCCATCTCCTAATTAACTTGTATGTTTTCATTAATGAAAACAACCACGAGAACTATAATTATTCGCATATAAGTAATCGCGAAAAGATTAATTTGTTATGAATGGGAGGGTAGTATTAAACGATTAAAAAATTGTTCATAATTTTAAGAAGAATAGAAGGACGACTTTAGATGGTGTAGAAGTAATTTCTGATTTAAAAAAGTTAGAAACATTCACGTGATATCATTTGAATGATATGCAAATGATGATATTGAAATGAAATTGATAGCAAATGATGACTGAAATGGGCAGGAGACAGATAAAATTAAACATTTTTTTACAATTTTTTTTTTACGTTTTTTCAGACACAAAATATCTGCAATAATGAGTACCCACAAGGGCAATGAATCTCAAGTGCACTTCTCGTTTCGTGTTTTGCTGCCGTTTAACGAGACAAAATGATCGTTAAAATCATGATGTCGTCAATCATGAGAAACTACTGTTGGTGTAAAATGACGAACTTTTTTCATCCACGTTCTTGCTGCATTAAATTAATTAATTATTGGCTACGTCTTCTCCTTCTTTCGCCTGTGATTTCTGTCCAATTGTGTGTAATTATTATATGCATCAATTTGTATTTAGAAACCCGTGGCAAAAATTCGTATTTCTAAGGCTTTAAATTTGATAATTTGCTATGTAATTGCAAATTAGATAATTTTCGATATAAGCTTAAAATGGATTGTAAAATTGAAGATTTTAAATTTCCAACTTTCCAATATCATCGATTTCAATTTTTAAATATCGTTAAAGCCCGAAACTTTTAATAGTAGATAATGAACTGTAAAATTAACCGTCCGATACACGATAAAACGCATTCCATCTTCGTTCGCCAGTTCCTAAACTTGGAACCTTCATTTAGAAACGAAATTTTCACGATAAAAATAGACTGATTGTGTACTATGTACAGATGTACGAAATTACTAATTATTGAACTTCGCTTCGTAAACACAGCCCGAAGAATAGTCTTTTTTCTTCTATCGGCTCTTGGGATAAGCACGCGATTATTTCTCAACTTCTTTGTCCGTTGAGAAATCGAGAAACCAGTTTCATGTGTAAGAGATATTTTTCCTCGATGGCGTTAATCTTTCGGTGAAATCGATATTTAATGAGTCTAGCAATGCTCGTCAGGTTCAATGTTCTTTGAACGAATATTTAATTACTTCCGTCGTCATTCAGATTTTCTGTCATTATTACTCACTGTATCATTGTGTTTTATTATACATAAATTCCGAGAAAATATTTTATTTCATTCAATTTTTACATAGTCTCAAATTAGAATATCTAAACAATTAAAAAATGAATTGTTTACAAGACTTTCTCGGTTTTATGGGTTGCGCGTATACTGTGACAAAAATATATTGAAGCTTCTAGAATCTAAGTGTCTCCACTTCTGAGTAATTAAAATGCCACATAGATTTTGTAATCGCTTGCAGTTGCATGTTACTTAATTATGCAGCAATCAAGGAAGAAAATTGTTCGCCGGGTTAAAAAATCTTCGATTTTTTGTTTGATCGAGTAACCTTGTAAACAGCTATAATTCTCATAAATTGAAACATTCTTTGCAATTTTACAATCCATAAATATCGAAGCTGTTCACCTTTCAAATCGGACCTTGTAACTTCCAATTCATTAAATATCCCTTATTTATCTTCTTTTTTCATATTTTAATTTCCACGAGAATTTGTGAATAGTAAGGAACTATATCTTTTAAGTTTCAATGACTAATTCAACAAATTAAAAGCTTGTAAAACTTTCGTCGATTTGTACGGAAATATATGCTTATCACGGGGACAGCATCTTGGAAACAGAATGAAGGACGCGAAAGGTGTATCCATCAGCTACATTCGTAAGTCGTTGTAATCGTTTGTTCATAATTTACAAAATGATTCTGCCTAATCTTCTTCCTTTAAATTCCTGAGGTTTTATTTTTATTTATAAAAATATGAATTTACATAAAAATTCTCAATCCAATAATAAATAATACGTATCTTATGTAGATTATTAAATAAATAAAATTTTATTGGTCTGTTTTAAAGCATGTGGACAACAGTAAAATAATATTACAAATAAATATTATTAGAATTGTATATGTGCTGTAGAGTTGTAGAATAAAAATCTGACGATAAATGTTCTATAATTCCATCGTTTGTTCATTGAAAAATTTGTCAAGTGATCTTAGTTAATCGCATTAATAAATGCTTCATGTTTACGCATCTTTTATTCAGTAGAAATTTGCATCTAACAAACTTGAATTTGTCAAAGATTGCCGACTCATCATGGTCGCAAAAAAGATTTGATTTATGAGATTTTATGTTCTTGTGCGAGATCACGTAGTCCATCATGCATGTACTATATTCTATATTGTACTTCTCTTGTCGAGGCTAATGTTTCATTCAGCTACGATCGCATTACTAAACACTGAATCATACTGAAAGCCATGGATTCTGAAAATACTCTTTTCCGAGGACATTAACGTGATCATACCGTTGTACTAGTTTCCGATGAAAGTATGTGACAGAATTTTATTGTTTTACATTCGAAAATTTATAGTAGCTGAAAAAATAGAGCAAAGTAAATGAAACTAATTCTTTAGAAATCCCTAGTAATGATAAAAAATGCAAATGACTAAACCGGAGTTAATTATCAGAACTTTCATTTACTTTGTCTCCTCTTAGAGATATAGAGCGTTATTTAATTAAAATATTAATAAAAATAAAATTAGTTTTAGTTAAGGCAATCGTTTTTGGTACTTAAGGGCTAAACTGTTCAAGGGAGGTCTTATTTTCGTGACGCCAAGATCTATGGCATGGCCGGTTAGAGGACAGGTCTGACATCGCTTCTTCTTGTTATTTGCGTTACAATTACCCTTTTCTTGACGAACGATGTATCTAGGGAAATAGTGGATTCGTTTTCGTTGTATCGTGGCACAAGCTGGCATTGTTACGACTAAGTCCTTCTTGTGTATCCTTCTTGCTAGTTCAGGAAACAGTCTGTCATTTAGTAGATACTGCTCTAAAGAACCAGAAGATTTAGACGACGCTAAAGTATGGCTGGATCCATGGGTGTCAAAATAGTTTTGTTCACGAAATATCTCCAATTCTCTCATTTCTCTATCAGAGAGGTATTTCCTACTAGTTTCATCTGGTAGTTTGTTTGTACAGACTGTGTCTTGATACTTTTCTGTATCAATATAAGTATCCCTTTCTAGTATAGATTTGGAATGTTCTAACTTATCCTTCTGACAACACTGGCATGCTGTGCCAGGTATTATCTTTTTACCCTTAGTTGCTACTTTTGAACTAGATTTAGACTTTTTTATATCAGGTACAGATGTTTTAGAGGTAAGAGTTCTTTTTACTACTACTTTTGGCTTCAAGTGTTTCTTCAAAGATACTTGAACTCCTGTGCTACATTTCTCTATATCTTCAGCTTCAGAACCTGAATATTCTTCACTGGTTTCTGATTTTGTAGGGACAGATTTTGCTAAGTGATAGCTAGTTTCTGATTTCTTATCATGAGCTTTCAACTGATGTATGGAATCAGCTTTATATATATCCTTCTTGGCCATGAGATCATGATAATGTGGTGATCTGTAACATGTCTCTGGACAGTCTCCTCCTCCTGCTTGCAAGAGAGAAATTCTGCTTCTGACATTGCGTAAGAATTGAGATCTAGGTGCATAATCTATTTTCTGGACTCTCCTCAATGTTTCACAACTAATAGGTGACGATAATGCTGACTTCTCACAAGTATCTTCTATCGTTATAGCAGGAGAAAAGGTATGACTCTTGCATCTTTTATTGGGAGAACGTGGTTTATACTGTGTCCTTGTGGGTCTTAGCTGTGCTTTTTTAATTTCAGGGTTACAGTAACACTCTTTGACAGGTTTTCTGTGAATATTTCCCAAGCAATGCTGATTTTCAGAGTGTTTTTTTGAAGATATTAATATCCTCTTTGCTGTTGATGTATTAGGCATTGATGCAGGTGTCTGTTTAGGGCTATTACAGAAATAATCTGGTCGTAAGACTTCACTAACTCCACTAGAATCATTTCTCAATTTCCATGATCTGCTGTCTTTCTTATAAGGCACACTTGATGCATTTGTCTTGCCAACATGATTTTTAAAATTATCTCTGAATGTCCTACATTGAAAAATCAGATTATGAAAATCAAATTATATAAGTTAAAACCGGATTATCATATAAAATATAATATGCAAAATACTTACAAATTTTCAGAATGTAATTTCTTGATTTCGTCTTTAACTTTTTTAGAACTCTTATCTACTTGAGTTAATAAATGCCTGCTTTGTTTACGTAAATTTTCTATACGCTCATTTAAGCTTTCACCCATATGATTACATGTTTATTTATTAATTAAGTGGAGATCTTTTAATCGATATATTCAAGGATTTCCTATGAAGGATTTATGATTCATTTTATATTTGGTAAAGTATTTTTTTATAACATTCTCGGAGATGAATTAATAAACAATAGCAAATTAAGAAGAATCGAGTATTATGATTAGAATTTCGTGGTCACGTTCAAGTCCTTCTCCAGACCATTAATTATCTATCTTTACATTTTTAACTTCTCAAAATTACGAACAGTACGCTCTCGTTTTGACTTCAAGATATCACAAACAAATTGTTTATTTTTATTTTATCAATTGAAGTTTACCGAGCGTCCACTGTAAACAGAGTGACGCAACCAGGCTTGCCATGATAATAAATACCATTTTTTCTTTCCACATTTCTTTCAAATTAAGTAGAAACTATTTAATATTTCACACATATCGCACATATTGAAGGATGAAAATCTTCTTACATTATATAATAAAGAACGTGTCCCAAATATATTTTTTGGAGTTAATTTTAGCTGTTCGAGAGATGTGATTGAATTTTGGAGATAGTGCTTTAATGCAGCCATGTTGGAGCGAAGCATAGGACGCGGCGTACGTTACAATGTGTCGTCGTTCGACAAGTATTATCTAATTTAATTAGCCGTCTCGTGTTTTCTGTCGATGTCTCGTCCGAATATTAGTTTACGTTTCCACATGTACGAAATATGAAACTAAAAACGTAATAATTGAATTGTTGGTTCGTCGCTCACGACGAGATACTATAGGTTATAAACGTTCGCGTGTTTTAATTGGAAACGCGCGTACCTTTCAAGTCTATTCGCGGTAAAATGGATTTCTCCGGAAACAACACGATCCACGGTGCGCTCCCGCAATTTTCGGAATTAACATCTCGATCGAGCACGGTTTCCACATCGAAATTCACCAGCAGTGATAATACTCAAGCAGAGCAAACCACTGTTTATACAACCGCTGCTGGCCTGAATCAAACAAAACAAAGTTTATTGGTAAGATTTATCATTGTTTCATCTTCGTTTATAGCTTTCTTACTTAATTATGTATTTCTCTAAAGGTGAATTCAACGAACAAGTATGCAGCACCGATATTAGCATGGCCGGATCCAAATACTTTGATGCAGCTTTGCGAGAAGCAAGGCATTCAAACAATTAACATTCCTAATTACAATCAAAATAACACAATACTCAGTGTCCAATCGAATAGCTTACCAGTAAGGATTATACCTAACGTGTACTTGCCATCAACCTCACAATCAGACGTTATAAAACAGGAGTTGGATACAAGGACTGAAAATGAAAAACAAACATCTACAATGGTACAGAGTTTTTCTTTTAGCCAATTAAAATGTCTGTTGAGAGATTTATATAATTCTATGTAATGAAATATTAATATTGCAGCAAGATTCACAAGTCCAACTTCAGCAACAAAGTGCCATGGCAGAGTATTTTCAAAAGTTGCAAGCTACTACTCTTCCATTAACATTGCAACAATTGATTAAACTCCAAACAGAGCAGGTGAAAAAAGAAAAGACTGAAGAGGAAAAAGTGGAACACACACAGAATAATATTCTCAACATTCCTAGTGTTCCAGTATTTAGAAATACACAAAATGGAAATAACACCTTCATAAATTCAGATCAATTGATAGTGTCCATAAATCCTAATGACCTAAATATTCAAGTAGAAAATCAGCAGGAAACTGAGAATGCAGTACAGACTGTTAAGGTTGAACAGCAAATACAAACTGACTCGCCAAAAACCGAGAAAAAGATGAAATTCCGGGCGAAAACAGGAGAAATAAAAATCAGTGTTGCTTTGGATGGCTCGACACTTTACTGTTGCCCAGAATGTAATTTAGCATTTCCAGATAAAACAGAAATTGACCAACATATACAAGCTCATATACAAGTATGTGTTAAAGTATTCTAGTATTTCTGATCAGAAAATAAATGTAGTATACCAGTGTCAACTTCTTTTTATAGGAACGCAAGTATCAATGCAAAGAATGTGGCGCCATGTTGAAACGGAAGGAGCATCTCGATCAACACATGCGTGGCCATTCAGACGAGAGGCCATTTAAGTGTCCAGTGTGCCACAAAGCGTTTAAAAGAAACGAACATCTAACGAGGCATTACGTTATTCATTCTGGTGATAAGAATTTCTCGTGTTCAGTATGTCAGAAAGCCTTCTCTAGGAAGGATCATCTGAACAAACACACTCAAACGCACCTAGGAATTAGGAGGAACCGAACGAAGAAGGATTCGTTCTTCGTGGAGCAAAAGGAGTCTTTTGAAAAAGCTACTGAGGTTTCCACGACGCCTAAACAAGAAGTGAGCTTTGTTTTAAAAGATGGGAACTTTATGAAGCAAGAGCCTAATTTTCTGCAATATATACAGAATCTTCAGAAGGATCAGAATCTGATCCACACATTCTCCTCCTTTAAGGAGCAAGCAACGACCGTACTACAGCAACAGGCAGTAAACATGAACGAGATTCTGCCTCAGAATACAAGGTACTTAATGCCGTCTTAGTCGTAAATGAGCTCGTCTAAATCCAAAGCAATAAAGGCTGTTCACGTGGGAGCGTCGGAGTTAGCACAAAATAGAAAATTGGTTAGGCATATGTTAGGAATTGAAAACGTATTCTAGAATTTGAATTGTAAAATCTTTTGAGAAGATAGCACTACGAAACAGAGGTGCAATTACTAAATGAATATTCATCAGTGGTAGATTGTAAATTTTCATAAAAATCGGCGGTGATCGGGTCATTGAACTGTAACTGGATTAGATAACTGGATGAACTTGAGACGTTCATTCATTTTTTTTACTCTTATGAATAGTACCTTACGTTTCCACTTTTAGTGGACACATTATGAACCATAAATAAGTTCCGCTATTTGCATGAAATAGTAACACTTAACAATAGTCTACCATAAAGCCTGAATGAGTCTAATGATAAGTTTAAACAAATTAGATAAAAAAAAATACGACGTTAATTTAAAAAGAAATGAGCAACCTATGTAAGAGCAACCTGTAACAGTCTTATTTAAATTAGTTTTAAAGCAAATAGTTTGTTTACTGATTCTAGTCTACGATCACATATGAAAGCCGAACGTAGGTCACTGAACTTCAATTTTTTATTGTGACTTGCAATAGAAAATCTCTTTTTAGTTTTTTCTTTTAATGAAGTCGAGTTTCGTGTATATGTTTATGACCTAGAATGGAGTACGTTTAAACGATAATTATCAATCAGTAGCATCGAAATTGCCAATCTGTCGTTAGGTTAATTTCGAAGCGAGTATCAATAGCAGGAAATAACATACTGCCAATAAATATGGTTATGAAAGTTTGTAGAATAATTGTGTATATAAGTGCTATACAAATTTTACCTGAAGAAGACTCAGTAGGTACATATGTTGTTTGATCTCTGATTCGTCCGTGTTCATCTTTAATAAGTATATATATATATATATATATATGCATATATATTTTACATAAACATTCATCATCACTATAATTCATCTTTTATTTTTCTCTCTACTTTCTCATACACGAATTGGACAAACAGATATTTTTTATACATATAAATATTTACCTACCTTTCAGTAAAAAATATCTTTACCATATGATTATTTTTTATTCTTTCCTTTTACAGATGGATTTTTTTAAGGCAAAAGCAATAGGAATTTTTAATTGAAAGTATTTTTACTTTTAATTTAAAGAATATAACTTTATCTTCTAGGAATTTTTTTTAGTAACGTGGCTTATGTTGCAATTATGTATCACTTTTTACAAAAGTTTAAGAAGTGATTTAGAGGAAAGGAAGATTACTTTGCTCAATGTTTCAAGATTTTTTGTTTTCTTGTACCAAAGAATATATATCCCTTGATTAGTGCTCTCGAATGAAAGCAATATATTATTGTTTAAGTAACAATGTTTGATAGACTTTTTTTTATGTTTTTATTTTAGATTCGGAGAAGTTCCCATTAATTTTGACTCACTCGCGACTCATTTTTACTGAAACTCACACCATTATCCATGAAAGAGTTTAACCACATTCATTTCATACAGAACAAATTTCCAAAAAAAAAATGTGTTTGTTGCACGCTAGATCTTTTATATTTATTCGATTATCTTTTAACTATGTAATAAAAAGGATATGATAAAAAATTGCTCAAGAATAATTTTTGAATGGAAGCGGTAAATTGTCGAAAAATTAAAGCGAATGAAGTTTTACGATTTATTTTAATTTGTCTTTCAACTTTGACAAAAAGAAAACTTTTATAATGGAACAGTCTTTTAATAATACAATAAAATAGTTTAACTATAAATGCTAATATCTTTTTCATTATTTGTTACATAAATTTCAAATACATTTTGATCTAGTTTTTTTTTTGTGACATTTACTAGTTTTTTGACAATTTACTAAACTATCTATGGTGGAACATGCTTTCAAATATTTGCCCACATGCTGTAGGTTTTGGAATATGTGATTACAATTTAATTATGACTAACACCTTTGAAATGTCTGCTAGGTACACATGAGATTAGAGTGAGTAACTGCGGATGGCGCTAAACATAAGACTAATACTCCGTTGTAATAGAACCAAAGAGAGAATAGCAGAGTTCGTGAGAATAGCAGTATTTTGTATCTTCCTCCTAAACTTCTTTCAACTTCCTGTTTTACTTAGCCCTGGATAGTAAATAGTCAAATATTCTTCTAAATTCTGATGCATTTTTACTTACGATACAGTGATAAATAATATAATTCGTTAAAAAAGAGGAATAATGCGCTGTCCAAAATCTATCAATGCAACTCACTGTCCTGGGTTACGAAAACAGCGCTAATTTTTCCATTAAAGTTAATGAAATAGTACGTAAGTATTCGATGTCCACGTTTGTGGCCATTTTTCGTGGACATCGCACGTAAGATGATACAATAACGAAGTATTTTAAAATAGATACGCGTTTGCGGCAAGGTGTTACTCTTCGATCTATTGTTATGTATAGTAATACGATGATTGCTAAAAAAAAAAAAAAAAAAAGAAAGAAAGAAATGAAAAAAGAAAGAAGATGAATGAAGAAAAAGTAACACATGTATTTTTCAGACCGAGATATTTTTGAATAAAATAAGTGTAAAGAAAATGTTTACTTGTATTGTCTGCGATAGAATTTCATTTATCTGAACTTTCCATTTATTGGAATGATATTTTTATATCAAGTAATTCAATTCCTATTCGGCAGGGATTGAAGTTTAGTTTAATCTAATCAATTCTTTAAGTTAAAGATTAATGTAAGAATAAATTATATATGTGTAATAATTTTATATTATATATAATAAATTGTATACTATATACAATGTACCTTAACATGTTTTACATTATATACAATAAATTGACAATATTTTAAATTATATATAATATTCCAATAGTCAATTCTTACTTGAATAGCTACTAAATAACAATCACAAGACAGAAGGTTTAGAATTGAATCTATTTACTTTGAAAAGTGACAATGAACCAAATTTCTTTTCTCAATAGATTCAGATAAATGAAATTCTACTGTGTCTGCATATTATTTCAGCTCCTGGGATAATCATCTACATCTCCTTTTACTTCTCAATAATCTTTTAATACAAATGAAAGTCCATCCAAGCGGTATAATACATGTTCCTTATAATTAATAAGCCATCGTTAATTATAATTAATTAACACGTATCGTATTATTGGTATAAATAGCTCTAGCCAATTTAGAATAGACACCGTAGGTGATTCCTAAAAGTGATCCAAGCCAATCAACAAGATGACGACTGAGCGTCACCGGAAACTGGAAAGCAGTTCTCGGTGTGACGATCTCCACTTCTCGGTCTCTGTCATTTTCCACTTCATCCTGCAGTTCCAATGGTTCCAATGGTTCTAAGTCTTCCAAAGGTCGAATATCGTTTACCCAATCATCGTTTGATGATCCTAAATACGTGACTTTTAATTCAGACTTCTTTCCTGAATCTTCTTTGTCCTTCGAGTTCTTTTGCATTCGATTGGACCAGATTAATTTAAGCGCTTCGACGTCTGGATTCGGTGTATCCTTGGCCAAAATTTTCTCCACGTTACTCGTGTTCTCTGGCTTTCGAAACACGAAGTTGTACGTGGCTCGCAATTTCCCGAGCAACTTATCCAGTGGTTTTGCCTCGGTGTTAGTTTCTTGCCTCGGAGTGCTCGTTTCTTCTGGGATCGGGAACAGTCTCGTGATTTGTGGCTTCGATTGCACTCTCAACGTGGAGAGCTGAAATACAGATTTTTACTTTTATTCTTACAGAAACCTTGATAAATTAATATTGGCGAAGAGATTAATGTTTTTCTTTTAAATTCTCTTTCTTTCTTCTGTAGAAGATTAAAGTATTTTTCTAGCTCGACTAATTTATTTTTGGAAAACTGATACATTAATTTTGCTACAAAGAGTTAACGTTTCTGAAGGTTCTTAGGTTGTCCCAGAAGTTTCTTTTGTTTTTGTAAGGAAATAATAGATGCGCAACATTTTTCGTTTTATATTACTTCATTGAATTATGCATGATACATTTTGTTCCATTATTGTTCTATTACTACAAAATGGATCATTCATAATTAAATTTAACGTTTCTTCGCCGTGACAATCTAATACTTATCGAGCCTTCATACAGAGCGGATGATGGAAAATTATAAAGCAATTCTTTTGACCAGATTTACGTGTCTTATCATCCTCAACTGCAATCGCAAACTTTGTATCATAACTCAGAAATTTCGCCACTGAGTTTCTAATTTTAAAACATACGAGACATAAATGTATCCCTTATCTGGAAAGATGAAACCTAAGCAGATATTTATTCTACGTACTAAATATCACGATGGATAATATACTATGACTTTGGATATTTTACATATTTTTGCATCTCGCACACATTTTCTATTTGTATATGGTAAGTGTGCGTATTTGCAATGAAATTTCGTGAGCCAATGTATGAATAAATAAACTGATACGTGAGAAAAAGCAGGAGACGAAAAGAAAATAGAATTCGTGATCGATAAACGTTGTGTAATTGAGAAACGAGGACAGAAACGTATCTAACAAAATAATTTATTGCGATACAAGTTTACATTTGCAGATAACGCAGTGCACTCTTGACCCAATCAGAATCGTCTCGACGAACTGGGAGACTGGTTACCATCTTTTAATCATCGTTCTCGAATCGTAATCTCTCAGAGTGACCGTAGCTTTTACACGGTTTACACAGCTCGTGAACGCTGTATTATGTGTTGTTAAGCTTTGTTTTATTTCAGTTCACACGCTGAAGAGTTAGGAGGTGTGAATCCTATAGTCTCGCGGGTGTTGTAGCGGACAGTTGTTGTGTTCATCGTCGACGTGTTAGGAAGATAAACGCTTTCTGCCAATAAATCGTCGAATAATTGTCCAGCAACGCAATTTTTTTTATACCATCTGGAATTCACCAATAGTGTTGATCGAGTCGTGGATCTGCTTTGACGCGATAGACCATTTCATAAGGTGCGGACCTTGAATCTTAAATTTTTTATTTAGATAGTGTGATTCTTATTGAGTTGATTGGAAAATTCGTTGCATTTATTCGACATAAATTGCTGCTGATACACGTTCCAAAGATGTAATTTCAAGGCAAGAGAAAATTAAGTTTTTTGAAGAAAAAGATTCTACGGAAATAGACTATTTTTCGTTTCTTCTTAAATTTCGCTACGAATTTTCTGGATGTAATATCAGTCGGTTGGTTTTCTAAAAAATGGGGAGACATTAGGATTTTATATATTTTATGTATATATGTATAATTTGTAGATTTTTATGCTCTCGTGAAAAATTTAAAGACACATACAGTGCATGCAATAAATAGAAATAGATATAATTCCCGAAGTGTAATTGTATCGGATCGAATAATAAATTCGTTTGTCTTTCACTAACATGCATTTCGGAGAACGTAAAAATGCACGTATCGCGTTAATCTACCGGAAATAATCTATGATTGTAGACTGTTAGGTAACTAGTAATGGTTAAATAACGATAATTATGGATTGTTATGATCACTGATGTTTCTCATTGATATGATGTTTCCATTCTATGCAACGTTGCATTAATGTTGCAGTAGAGGCTGTTTCAGAGGAGGTGAACATAAAATTTGAAACTGAGTTCAGTATACAGAAATTGAACAGACACATTTCAAGGTAAGTTATTTTTTTTAAAATTAAGTTAGGTCTAAATTAATCAACCGCAACATTATATAATTTAGAAGTAATGGTAAAGTATAAAAGTATTCATTTACGAGCTTTTTAATATAGAAGAAGATTTTTTATTCTTTTCTAAAAAAAGACGACTTATCAATTGCAAAAATCTTGTGTACAGGTTATTTCACTAAAAGCGGTCGGCAATTTGTACATTAAAGACAGTCAATTACGCTCCATACTAAAGGAAGATTCCTAATTGAGAAGGTAAAGCAAGCTTTAAGATCCTCCTTACTATACAGGTTGTTACATAAATAAAAACACCGTGAAAATAATACCGTAGTGTTTTCATCTTACTTTTCTTCTTTTTTTCATGTTAATTTACTTCCACTTCAAGGTCTAAGAAGATACTACAAGAAAGATGTTGCGATTTTCTCGCTTTTTCCTTGCTGTCTTCATGCTCGTTGCACTGATGCATCTCTCTCAGGAAGAGACGACAACAGAGTTACCCTTCCTCTTGGAGAGAATGAAGCAAAGCGTTAAAGTAGGACAGACCAAAATATACAACACTGTGTTCGATTTAATGACGACTACAGACACGACTACAGAGATGAGTACTATGACGATGGAAGAAGATGATTTTGAATTGACTAACAGGCAATTAATTGTAGTACCCAACAGATGCCCGTCCGGCTCTGATCTCATACGGGGAAGCTGTCGTACAAGAGTTTACTGAAGTGAAAAATGTAAAATCGAGATTTGGAAACGTCCTATATATCATACCATATACTTTTAGAAAATTCTAATAATTTACTTTCTTTATGACTTTTATCAGGAGTAGAATAAAATATAGTAGAGTCGGGATTTTGAAACGCCCTATACATCGTGGTAATATATTTGTACGAATATTCTGTTTTTTTATCCCAATTAAAATAAAATATATCAGATAGATAAAAGTCGATGTACAGTTATATACATACTTTCATCTCCATTTTGAAACATCTTGTACGTACCAAAGATCGTGCAGCATCACGTTCGATTATCTCAAAGGAGATTGAAGAGAAAGCCGGATACTAAATGCGACGTAATTATCAAACACTAGTTTCACGCGAGTTTCATGAAATTTGATAAGAATGTGCGATGACTTTATTTTTTTACTTTATGGTTACTTCAAGGTTATGTATCCATTTCTGTCGGCCATATTGTATACAGGGTGTCTAATTGAAACGCCGATGATCTCTCGTGTAAAAAAAAGAGGGAGAGATGCACGTAAAATGCGTTTGATTTTTGGGAAACTACGGCTGAGTGTTTCTTGTTGATTTTTTTGTTCTATCACTACAAAATGGATCATGCGTAATTCAATGAAATAATATAAAGCAAAAAACGTTGTGCATCTACCATTTCCGTATAAAACGAAGGAAACTTTTGGCACAACCTAATACTTATTTGAGATGTAATTAAATCATTGGAATTTCTCACCTGGAAGAACTTTTTTGAAAAATTTTGTTGAAAAATTAGATAACTCTCGAAAATTATCAGGTGGAGACATTTTTTGAAAGGATTATTCGGATCTAACAATTTTTTAAAATCTTTGCTCAATAAAATTTTCCACGATTACTCAGACATTTAAAATAAGAACGCAGATGTTCGTTGTGACGGAAGCAGGGAAGTTTCGCGATTAAACGACAGGAAGATTGCGAATGTTGCAAACAGTTTGTCTCTCAGATTCCTTTTCTTCTTCTCTTTGAACTTCTTCCGCTACTTTTATTACTTTAATCGAACGTTCGGAAATTAATCCCTTGTCGAAATCAAAGCTATGACTATCATTCTGTTCAATGAATCAAAACTTGCACAAATTCCTCCAAAAAAATCCAAAGAAAATCGAACTTCTCGCTTTATAATATTCCACCCTTTGAATGTCACATTTAATTAAATCCAATAACTATAATGAAAGAGTAGCGTTCTTTCACGCAAGTTTCATTTTCTAACTGTACTTTGCATTTCGTATTTGTATGCATCTTTGCACACTTACACCTGTCATAAATGCATAAATACTAGTAATCTACTAATTATTAATACTCGAATGATCTGAGAATCTAACAATGAGAAAAGGTATGGAATCCCAGGAAAATATTTACATGTTACTAATGCAATTAAGCTGTATAAAATTGTCGAATGTTTTCAAGACAGACTACGATTTCCAAAGGAAATATTAAAAAAAAAAAAGGAAAAGAAAGGAAGAAAAAAGCTAATTACTAGACTGTGCATTTTGATGCATTTGTGGAAAGTTTGAAAATGCAGAAACACGCAGGGTGCGAATAATTAAGAAAAATGTAGAAAATATCCAGGGTATAGTAATCTCTATAATATTTAATGGATAAACCAATTTTCTATCTAAGTTCCATTGTTTTAATTATATTCATAAAAATGTGAATTTTACTTACAGAAAGAAGGAAAAATCCAAGAAGTAGAGTCTTCATATCGTCTTAAGCTGGGTCAAGTGTTCCCTTTCGATGATTTCTTTGGTCGAAAGTAAGGCAACAACTGAAGGACTCATTGATTTCAAAATCCATTTATACTGGCGTGCAATGCAGCGGCGTAGCATCTCGTCGCGTCTAATTCGATCACAACAGCGAGGCTATTGTTTTCTGTCCGCGCCTCTGCCTGCTGGACAAACCATTGACACGGTGTTGCCTAATGGAAATCGCTATTCGACACACGTAATGCTGCTCCGTGGACTCTGCCAACTCATATTGTTCAACCAATAAACAATATCGTGCCGCGGGTCAAGGTGGATCAAAAAAATTCATGGGATCTGTGGTATGGGTTCGATGGTGTCGATAGATGGATCGTAGAATACGACGCTATATTGGTTAGGTAAAAGTACATATAGATACTAGGTCAGGTATATATACAGTGGCTATAAAAGGTACTGGCACGAACCCTTATTTTCCAACGAAGCGTTTTCTTTTTTTTTTTTTTATCGGATTTGCATTCTATTTTCATACATAGTAGTGTAATGTATATACTCGTATGTAGTAAATGTATATACTTGAACCTAATTAATCAGAATAAATACTGCCGCTTAAAATTTCGCAGCAACCTTTGCTCTTTAGACGAAACGAACTTCTACATATATTTTTCCGAGAAATAGGAATATTATAATTTTCAGAGGAGCATCTGAAAATAATCCACGTTCATCGCATACGTATGTAGATGTGAATTTGAATTTAATATTGATCAGTATGATTTGGTAGTACTGAAGGATCGATAACGAAACACGATTCCATGATGTTTAGGTGGATATAATAGGTGGTTGGTAGAAGTTACAGATGGATGTTATTGGCATTAATTAGTCCTCTGGCGTTCAGGCGAAGATTTCAGTTTAGTATTGATCGGTTTGATTTGGTAGTATTTGAAAGCGGATAGTAAAACATGATTCTATGGTTGTTCAGGTAGGTACACATGTAGGATGAGTACTAGGTAACATGTAGATGTAGATAAGTACTAGGTAATAATAGATCTTTGGTAGGAGTACATGCTATATATATATATGTATATAATCTGTATACTGTTTAGAAATAATTTGTTCCATGACGTATAGATGTGGATTTGATCTTCGTTTGATGGATTGCATCGAGCTTTGCTTTGGGTACTTAATATGTATATATTATGTAGATTATAGGTACGTATGTGTTACGTTAATTGATACGTATGAGTCAACGTCTTAACAACGCTTTACCAAAAAATCGGACGTGAATCAACTTCATTGTATTCGGAATTATTGAGTCATCCTACGGATTCTTGCGGTTTTGCATCCTTTTTAGCTTGCAAACGTACACTGCCCTCTTGAAAATTTGATACTTTGATGTACTTACGTTAGTTGCACTCGAAAATAGTATCTTCATAAATATTATCAAGAAAATGGGATCTAAAAGGGAGATTTGTTTTAATACTTGCATCAAATATATTACAACGAGTACTTTATTTTGTATATGTTGTATATTTTTGTATATTATGTACATTCTGTGCGTTTTCGGATCCTTGAAATTCCCATAAATCGTATTTAATATTTTTCATCCTACGTTTAATCTCACGCAGCTTGTGTGTTTCCACCGGTTTGAATTTCCTTTTTAATTTCCATTTTAGTTCACAAATGCACGAAAATCCGCGATCTAATTAAAACTAGACTACAACTACGGAAATTCATATTTTTGAAGGCATAATTAAAAACGTAGAACCTCGGTAGAAAATCGCTTTTTCCCCCGTTAAGTAATTATGAAAAGCGCTATTGTGTACCTTGGACATTTTATATGTTTCCTCATAACGGATGCATTCTGTGCAATTTTTTGCATTTCAAATATCCCACAAACGCATAAAAACCCGCAGTCTAATTATAACCACTAACATCTATTCTATTTTCGATATTTCATATTAAACTCACCATTTCATATAAATCTTACGCGAGTTTTCTGCATTTTTACGTATTATGCATGCATTTTGTATATCTTTACACCTTTAAGTTTCCCGTAATTGCGTAAAAATTCGCCGTCGATTAATCATTTATCGACACATGTCATAATGTCATGTAACGTTAACGTCGAGCATTATGGGGAATAACGCAAGGGTAACAAGGGTCTTAGGTCTTTGTTCAGCATGCTGGAAGGGTTGTCGAGATCTCGAACAGCCAACGATGTCCTCATTCTTGCGTCTTCTCTCGTCAACTCGTTTCGTTCCAGCAGCTTCGACAGAATCTTCTTCAGTTGTGGTCCGATACCACCCTCCGCGGAACTTTGTAGAGTATTGAGAACATCGTCAGAGAAACCTGTGTATTTCCCGAATCCCTGCTTCCTGGCATCCTTGCTCAACGAGTCGTACAAGTTGGCGAGTTGCTGAAGAGTCGCACTCGGTGGCACCTTCGAACGTCTTAGGTAACTGCTTAGGCTTGGCCTTGGCACTTGCGTCACCTTCTCGCCTAAACGTGTGAATCTGTCGAGGAATTGGTTGAATTGGAAAGATTAGAAAGTTAATAATATATTCGGTAAATATAATTCAATATTGACTTGGATCTTTTAACGCGTTCAGTCCAGCTTATTTTGTAATGTTGCGCTGGGAGTTATTAATATTGAATTCTTGATAGTTTATTTTATAATATATTCTTTATCAAGAGATTGAAATTTTCCTTAGTCTTGGGTCACCTTTGAATTGTTGTTAATTAATTTTCTTACACAGTCTTCTACTTTGATTAACTAAGTTTCTCTCGTTTATTTCTTTTTCCTCGCGTTTTTAAATTACTATAGGATTTTTGACGATCTATTAAAAAATCGGATGTCTTGATTATTTTTAAACAATACTTCCATTGTTACAAATTTGTTTCATTAAATTTCATTTTCCTTTAATTTTCTATCAGAGAGGCAAGATGCTATTGATATCGTTTCTTCTCAATTATTTTGTCAGTTTTTAAATTCTCATAGTATTTGGAATGTCAAATATGGACACGAAGTGGTAAATTATTTGATTGAATTATCGTCGAAATGTCAGACGTAACGTAATAAAATTTTTCGAGGATAGACCTTTCAGTTTCGTAACGAGTATTTGTACTCGAAGCATGCTTGTATCTACATTTAGTTAAGCAGACTTTTCAATGAAATTTGAATTGATCCCAGCAACCGAACGTCGAGCAGTGACAGCCTTGTTACGGCTGCTGCATTAGACTATGTTTATTCTGCATTAAGTTTGCCAAAGTAAATTTCAAACTCGAATGGGCACCCGTTCAATCTATAAACGTAGCACATTTGCTAGACGTTTCTGAGATATTAATGCTGTTCCAATATCGAAGTATTCAAATTTTTCTCGGTACTTATGACTGTTAATAATACGAAACGAAGTATAATAAAAAAAAATAAATACACAGGCTGCAATTACATCTCGATTTTTAAAAACCAATTACGAATTTAATTTATTTCATTGTAGTTTCATCCTAGCACTTTCTTGCATTGTTCTATTTTATTAGTAAATCTTTGCACCGTCATCGTTTATTATTATTGTTTACCATAATTATAATTATTATTATTTTATAAACTGTATATACCTGCTGCATACCAAATTGTACATTTTTAAAATACCAAGCTGCTTCATCTCTGTATCAAATCTGTCCTCTCTTTCCAAGAATCTCTTCCATTTCTTATTATTTATTATCATTTCTAAATAAGCCAAACTGAATATTTCTTCAAAATAAGATGAGATTGTAAACGAAGATGTTGAAAGATAGCAATTTTTGGACCTGCTTGCGAACGAAAAATTCTCTCAGGGACGAAAAATGTTATTTTAGCCGAAATGTGATGAGAAAGTTGAAAAAAAATGAGTGCGAAAGATGAAAGAGTGGCAACGCTGAAGCTTATCCGTGTATTACGTTTGATCTTAATTTTCTTCCAATTCTGATCCACTTACAGAATAATTATTCATCTGTATCGACATAACGATTCCTCGACGATTCTGCTAATAAATCAATTGCAGTTTGAAATCGAGTAATTCTGAAGTAGCACCAGATCGTTGCTACGTGAGAACAATGGGCAGCAATAATCTTGTGGTACTTTGGATTTACTCGATTCCAAGTTTCAATTGATTAATCGGCAGAATTTTCAAGGAAATATTTCATAAATAGTTCAGCATCTTGAGAAGATGAAGTTTAAGCGTAGGGTAAGTTTGATCGCTGCCACTTTTTCATCTTTGCACTCATTTTTTTCAGCTTTCACGTTGCGGATAAATGCTAATAACGTATCTTCTCCTTGACAGATGCTTTCAAATATCCTGCGAGAACTTTTCGCCCTGAGGAAGGCCAAAAAATGACCATTTTTAACATCCAACCTTTTAAAATGCGGTAAATTGTCTCGTAATCAAACCGCAAATTTGTATACATTTATGAAAAATTCAAAAATTCAAAAATGCATAGGGTACACGCGATAAAAGATATCGTTGCCCTAGTTCTTAACTTTTCTAACTGCATTTCTCAACGATGAAAATTTTGCTTGGGCAACAACGAATATTCAGTTCTTTTAGCTCCCAGCTCCGCGTAATAATATTAAACTTCATAAACTTTAAACTTAGTTTTCTCGTATTAAAAGCTCGCCGGGATAGAACAATGAAGAACCTAAACGAGGATATAGAAAATAGCTAAAGTACATTGTTCGGTATAATATTCTGTAGATGAAGATCTTCCCTGCATGAAAATGTGAATTTCTAGAAATATCCGCAGTCTGCTAATGTCTGTATCTAACAAACGCTCAGCAAATCTCTTTCTTAAACCCTGTCATCTATTTCTCCGTCAAAAAGCAAATAAACTTTCCAACGAAAGGCTTCACCTTGTCTCGTCGTCCTCCTCTTCCACGTTCTCCATTTTCTCCACGGGAATCCCATCCACGCTTTTCGATTCCTCGAAATGATCCGCGTCTGCGAACTTGGACGGTTTAGGTTTCAAGATCTGATAGACGTCCTGCACCACGCTATCGATAGTCGGTTCTTTCTTCTTGTCGACGTTCGCAACGATCGATTCGGGTCTCGTGGAATCATCCGGATCGCTCGA